TCCAGGCGTAGATTAAACGCAACATTAGCAGGTACCAGTCAGCAACAACAACAACAACAACAACAACAACAACAACAACAACAACAACAGCAACAACACTATCGAATGGCGCAAGCTAAATCTTTGGAGGATCAGTCGTCCTCTAGAAGATCTCAGTTTGTCCAAAGATATTTGGAATCCTCGTCATCGTCCTCCTCGTCCATGGGCTTCAGAAGTTTGGACAGTTGCGTGACGAGATCAGCGATGCCCAGGTTAGCCGAGAACACGGATTCATCGGTCGAAGGATACGAGGACGGCGACGAGGATGATAATCCTAGTTCGTCGTTAAATCTTAGCTTAGTATCCTCACCTGTAGCTGCATTGAATTCGTCGACGGAATCTATAAGAGCTAACGGCGAAAGAATCTCACCGTCTAACAGGCAAACTCGTCATCATGGAAGGACCCAACAAGGGCTCAGAAGATCTCCGGGATCTTCCGAGTCTGGTAAACAATTGTCATTTAATTCTCCTACCTCTTCCTCGTCTTCGAGCAGCATCGAGAGACAAGGACGGTCGCCCACTCCTAATCACTTTAGACGTGGAAATGCATCGAGGCAGCATCAGAGTGCGAGAACCAGTCAGGCATCTCCAGACTCTCTACAATCTAGAGTGAGAAGATCCAGGAGTTTACAACTTCCGGAGAAGAGATCACCGAGCGCGGCTCCTCAAACAATTAGAGATCATTCCCGAGAATCTAACGAGTCTCATCGAATGATAATCAAATTATCAAACGAGCGAGGAAACGAGAGAAGCAAACGTTACACTTTACAGAACAGTAAGTAAAAATATATAATTATTGTGTTTGGTCTTTGATGATTATCAAGATCGAATCGACGATTCGCGTCTATTTTAGGAAAAGTTCAATCGACGGATGATGCCCTTAACGAGGAGTTGTTTCGCGAGGCCGAAGCTGTCACGGAATATCTATATGGTACTCGAAGTCGTGCGATAACACGAAACTTTCTAACTAGTCGATACGAACGCCATGATGAACGTCGAGACGATGGCCAAGAACAGAGACGTGCCAATCAAACGACCTACGACGTCTACTTCATATCTTCGAAACAACAGCCATCTCAAAAGAGCAATAACACCTCGATGCAACAGCAACAGCAACAACAACAACCACAACAACAGCAGCAGCAGCAGCAGCAGCAGCAACAACAACAACAACAACAACAACAACAACAACAGCAAAGTAGAAGACCTAGGACTCTTCAACGAGGTGCCACTACACCGAACGCCAATCCAACTTGTTCGAGTCAAGATTTTTCTGTTAGTCCTGACACGAAGTTACGTTGTAACAGCAGTACTTGCGATTTCTGGCCGCATTGCTCTCAAAGAAATACACTTTACTCGCCTAATCAAGCGCCTGTCTTCATGAAAGTATCTCAGAGTTATCCGGCACATCAGAGATTGTCAATGGACACTGGTACTCATGTGAATCGTGGTAGCGCATGTTCCTCGCCTGCTTCTTTGGAAAGAATGGACGATCGTGATTATAGGGAACGAGAAACTACGAGAAAGAGTAGGACCAGTCGGGAACAACAGAATAATTTGAATGTTCAAAGGTACATTTATGTCTATTTACACGTTAGATGATGTAATGATATTGGGGGAAAAAAAAAAGAAAAGAAAAAAAAATACAGAAAGAAAAATAAAAATAATAAAAAGAAAAAAGCAAAAAGAAATGAGAGGGAGATATTGCGCTTGTTGACTTTTATTTTAATTACAAACTTTGAATTTGTTTTATTTTGATTTATGTAAAAAAAAAAAAAAAAAAAAAAAAAAAAAAGAGAAACAAAAACAATAAAACAGAAAGAAGAGAAGAAAAGAAAAAGGAAAGATTCGATGTTAATTTTCAAAAAAAAAAAAAAAAAAAAAGAAAAAAAAGATAGAAAAAGAAAATACATTTAACAAAATTATAATATATTATTTTACTTAGATATCAAGATAGACCGCCAAAGAGTGTGTTGAAGCAGCCCAATCGGTGGTCACCTATGGAGGAAGGCAATCCTAACGGTAGTTTAGACAAGAGAGGAGATCGTCATCGTGTTTACAAAAAATCTGAACTCGTCGGTAGCTTCGAAATGTGTGATAAAGAAAGAAAAGTGTCGCCGGTTCAAGGTGGTAAAAATTTGAATAGGTCACCAAGCGGTCAAGTGGCTTCGCCCTCGAGCACGTCATCATCTTCGAGCAGTGACATTTGGGTAACTACCTCGGATCGTACAGTGACGAAGAGCCCAAGAAACGCAAAAAGTTCGGGCACGTCTACGCCTATGGATGACGCGGTGATCGGTTCTCTGAAAACGTTGATGGTACCACCGAAAGATGGAATGTTGTCCAGACCTGGAAGTGCACCGACCAGAGGAGAGGATTCGTTGACCAGCGACGTGTCCTTGGATCCACATCAGCGCTCTCTATCTTTACCAAAATCATTCTTGACACATAACACCGATAG